ATCTAATCTTCGGCACTCATGTTTTGATCTCATTGTGTTGCAAGTGCCGTAGAAACACTCACTATACTTTTAAAAAAATAAACAGCGTGTGTAACAATAAGATAAAATAAGCTAAGATAAGATACGTCTTTATTGTCCAGATCCTGGCAGGGGGCTCTCGTGGCCTACAGGTCAAGGTGTTGGCCTCTCATTCAAAGGTCCCGGTTTCGAATCTGGGTAGCGACCGAAGCATTTTCTTCTCTAACACTGTCTCCTTTCACTTCCTTTCCTGCTCTCTAGCAATGTTCTTTCGTCTGATTTCGTCTCCTCTTTCTGCCCCCACCCCCTCTCCTTCATACGAATACTTGTAATAGCTCTGAGCTGGGTGGGCTGTTGTACTCCTGACGTACCACAGCTGCTGTGACCAATCCACGGTTATCCGCAACCGGTGTCTGTTGTGTCGGGCGGTTAGGCGCCTCGCTGTCGCACACAGAACACCCGAGTTCGATTCCCGATTGGGGAGAACTTTCGTCGAACATCTCGCTCGTTCTTTCTGCTTTAATGTTGTATTCATCTCAGCCTGGCTTCTGCCTGACAGGCATGTCGGATCCCGCCTCCTCAGTGATGTAAATTGTGTCGGTGGCGATGTAAAACACGTTCATAACATTTGATTACATTACATTACATAGCACTGAATTATATTACATTACATTATATACAATGCTGTACAATGCAGTACATTGCATTATATTACATTACAGCACTTTACATTGCATTACATGCAATACATTACATTACATTACATTGCATTGCAATACATTATAGTACAGTACAGTACAGTACACTACATTACACTACCTTACAATACATTACATTACATTGTTTTGCATTACATGACAGTATACTACATTACATTGTTTTGCATGGCATTACAGTGCAGTGCGGTACAGTGTAGTGCATTACATTACAGTGCAGTGCAATACATTACATTGCCTTACAGTACATCACAGCACTTTACATTGCATTGCATGCATTGCATTACAGTGCAGTGCAGTGCAGTGCTTTGTATTGCATTACGTTACATTACATTACATTACATGTGTCCAGCCCAGGCTTAGGTTACCCGCGACGCGTTATCTCCTTCCAGTCTTACGTCACACCTTCAGGACTTCGTCTCTTGGCCCACCACTGACCCTTTATCCCCCCTCCCCACCCTTACTCCCCCCTACTCTACCCCATCCCCCTTTTTTACTTTCCCCACCCCCTATTCCCCCTACTCTACCCCATCCCCCTTTTTTTACTTTCCCCACCCC